TCCACTTCACATGTATCTTGACACACACAAATATCGCTCTCCCGTTACCTTGTATACACCGTCCCTACCAGAGTGAACTAGCTTAGGCCTGGCCAAACATTCGCTAGTGGAGCCGCATAGACAATAACACCAGCCCTCTCCACTCGCTTCTGTTGTGTTATCATGCTAGGGCATATAATTGCCTCACTTCCAACTCAGTCACAATGTCAACGTGTGTCACCGAGATCCGATGAATATATACTACAGGTATTTCGGGAGTGCCGAAAGTAAGGACAATCAGCATGCGTGCGCACCTTCTGCCCGAGGATAACAACACAACAGAAGCGAGTGATTGGGGCTGGTGTTATTCTTTATGTGGTTCCACTGGCTTGCACTAGCTGTTGCACAGGCGTTGGGGCCACGGTGGCAGAACTTAGCATGGATATAGTAAATTCAGTAAAGTAAATTCTCGATGAGTGGTCGACGGTTCCTCGACACTGAGTGTTTAGACGTCATCCCTACAACTAGATGCTTAACTGGTTCCACGTGGGACTCCCCTAGTGGTGGGGATGGCATCGGAACACTAAGTGGCGAGGAGCCTTCGAACACTCATCCATGATTTACTGTATCTATGACCGTTTCCGAGAATTTTTCCGCGGTCTTGGCCATATATCAAGAGTCCACTGTGGTACGAATGGTCCACGTGGGCAACAGAATCTATTTCTATTCTCTACGGACAGTACTATCTAAATAAATAAAGGACTCTAAAGATAAGTTAACCAAGGATCGTTCAAACGGTTTCAAACACTTGAAATTCGTCTCGAATATGTTTAATCAGCGTCTTCGAGGGGCACCCTCGACGGAATTCCGTCACACAGTCTGCACGTGACTACATAATCTCGGTCCTGGCACGAATCTACCTCGAACAACACCCTTTCCGAACGTCTCGATCCTTTTTCGTTCTCCTACTCACACACACACTCTCTCTCTTTCTTTCTTTCTCTCTCTCTCTCTCTCTCTCTCTCTCTCTCTCTCTCTCTCTCTCCCTCTCTTCGGTTCAGCCGCGGTACAATTGAAAAGCGAGAGGCAGCTTCGATAAAAAACGGATACATATACAACGTGTACGCATGTATGTATGTACATGTCGCCGATGACTGATCGATGCGAGTTTCGTATTATCATCATCATCATCATCAATTTTTTTTGCGCTTTTATTTATTATTTTGCTTTTAATTCGTTCGTCCCGGGAAATGTTAATCGAGATATTTACCCGAAGCCATTCGTGCGAGGACTTTGTGATCCGTGAAGCGTTACGTTCGTTCGTTGGGAATGTCGACGACGGACGAAGAACAATATTTCAGCGACGAAAATTCGATAGACTCCTTCTTGTGAATGATGTTACACAAGTCTAACACGTGAACTCGAGAACAGTCTAATTTTGAAATTAATCCATATATTCATATTATATGTATATCTATTTAGGATAAACGCACCAATGAAGGAACACTTAGGACATTTGGTAACTATTAAAGCCGAATTTTAAATGATAATAATGTTAATAAATATTTGGAACATGAAAATTAGAGTTTTTAATATCTATACCTTTTTATAACGTATAGATTTCAACTTGAAAAATAGTAAAAATGTAATTAATTGAATTAACAAGGAAAATACAGATTTCACCGATGAATGAACATTTTTAATCAAAGACGCAAACATTATTTGAATATAAAACAAGGAATTATAAACTTAATTTGCTCATTTTTACATATACTGTTGATTCACTGGTACGTGTTCAAGTGTTCATTTACTGGTCCATCCACCCTATGCAGATGGGATGCGATTCGAAACAATCTGACGCACGTCTTTCTTGAGAATTTCGTGGGAGAGTCTCTCCCGTTGGTAAGAAACTTGTGTGCTCTGTTTATTCTTAATTCGAGGGGTGTAATCGTAGCGATTGTAAAGCAAATACTTTCTTTTGATCATCCGAATTCGTTGTTAAATTGAATATTACATTGCGATCGATGGAAGTTTCGCCAGCGAACGAATCGACACTCACGGAACGAAATTATTTATCGAAGAAAGTCGTGGAATCGATTCGAGTTACACTGTTCTTATATTTGATCGGGAGTATTTGATTAATCGAGTCTGGCGTTTTATTAACAGAAATATCACATTCGCTTTCGCGTCGCGTCTTCGCCGATACGTCTGCGAGCGGAATTCGAGAACAGCAGTGACGTAAAGCTAACCGAAATTTCGACACAGTGAAAATCTATTCGAATTCTATTAGATTTTCGGAATTAAACAGCTTACTAAGAAACAGATTCTATTGTTACTTATGCGTATATGAATAAAAAAAAGGAATTGAACTCTCTATCCATGATCCCTGCTGTCCTCTCTGTGGACCATGATCGTAACATCCGCTTGAAAGAAGAATAAAATCGCGTATCGTCTCGCCGTGTATCTAGGTGCGAAAATCCACGTGTGCTGCGTGTACTACCGTTGAGTAATAATCAAAGATAATCGTTTATCTGGTTAATCAAAAAGCTGCAATCTCCATTTAACGCTGCGCCCGTTGCTCCTCTCCGTTACAAAGTGACTACGAGTCGTTTAATCGTTTACATCGAATGAATCGGTATTCATTTACAGCCTAAAATACTGAGCAAAGAACGAACAGATCGGCGATCGACGATCCACGATGAATGACCAATCATCATTCATTCCTCTTTCTCTCGTCTGTGCGACAGTAACGTTTGATACTTTCATTTTGTTATACTTCATTTATATAGATCATTCTCTCTTTATTGGTGGTGGCGATACACCACACAAGAATATTATGGACTGATCTTCCTTACAAACTTACAACTTATTTCAATCGTATCCTGATCACGATCGTTAGCGGATTCTAATCACAAAATACTTTAATATCAAGATCATTACTGATTCGAATTGATATTTCGATCTCGATCGAAGGTATCCTCTTTCAGTGTGAATGCAGTTCTCCTGGAATCGCTAATGGCTCGAGACCGACTCGTTGATCGTAGATGCGTCAAGTAAGTAGTTCTTATTTCTTCGACTATTTTTCGATCATTCGAACGGTATCGTTTACGGATCATCGATCGCCGTTTTTGCACCCTTAACACTGCGTGATAAATCGCGTTACCGGGTTGGTGGGGGGATGAAAAAGTAAACTCGGGAGGTCGAGAACGAAAAGAGAGGAAGAGAAACAAAACGTACGCTTTAACGAGCCGTTAATTAAATTCGTGAATAAATACTTTGTAAAAAATTTCTTTACAACGACGTGTATACGCATGCACAGACGCGCTAGAATGTGTACACGTACACACGCACGCATTTATATGTATATAATAATATGTATAGTTACTTATATATCGTTATTGCGCAGGCAATTCTTGTTACTTCATCTTTTTTGTTGTTTTATCGTTTTCAACCATTTTTATTACCAGTCGGTATTAAATATTCTGTTTTTTTCTTCGCCTCCTCCCCCGTCGCGGTTGCGTTTCTTCCCTACTTTATGGCAAGTAATAATACAATATAATAATAATAATCGTAATCATAATAATATAACAATAATAATAGTAAGAATATTAGTAATTACCTAAATTCTCTCCGTAATAATTTCCCATGTCTCCTTTGCCTCGTATTTCTTTCGCGTCTAATTGTTTCCCCATGATTATGGTTACATAATCTCTCTTTGTCCGTATGTTTTTGTCTGTATAAAGGACATCGCAACCGTGTTTGCTCGGTAGGTGGCACACAGAATTATTCCTCGCGTTCTCAACACTCTTACACTCCCTTCTCCTTCTGTTTGTTCGCTTGCTGACAATGATGCCCCAATCGCTTAACATATCGCGTGTGTACGATATCTTCTCCCGAGACAACGTCGCAACACGTTCTCGATCGCGTGTAAATACCTTGATCGTTTCGTCACGTCGCAACTTTATTACTTCGCTCCAAACGATCGCGCCTATACATATAAGCGTTGAAAAAAGTGAAGGTGCTCTCAGTCGTTAGAATTCTCGATAATTTCGATAAACTACGCGCGTCTTACCGCGACGCAAACGACTCTGAAATTCGCAAAACCCTTTTTTACCCCGTTCTTTTCTTCATCCCTTTTCCACTATTTATTTACTCCTGTTTATCCTACGATAGTCGAACCTCCGCCACCTTGTACTTTCATTGTTTTGTTATAAATTCCCCTCCCCCTCTCCACTGTTTTTTTCCCATTGGCTTTCTCGAATCGCTCGCGATCTCGAGAAACGAAAGCGTCTATTTTACCTCCTATGTCCCGCGTTTCAGGCTGCTCCGAGGGGAATATAATACGCACGCGCGTCTGTGTGTGTGTATAATATATATAATGCATGTATATCGGTTAATCGATTAAAAAATTGCTCGAAGGAAATAGCATCGACACGAGGGTAGAAACCTCGAAGGCAAAGGTCCTCGCTGCTGTGGTCGGATTTAAGGGTGCGTCTCTCTCTCTCTCTCTCTCCCTCATACACACTCTCCCTTACTCTTTTTGCAACGGCTCTAGTGAACAAACGCGGCTTCGTGCCTTCTATTCTCACTCTTTTCTCCCGTCTGATCGCTCCCCTTAATTAACCTTTACGTCCAGTCACTCCTCGATACCGTTCAACGTCCGCCTCTCGATTTTCTTCAAACGACCCCCCTTCAAGAATCCCATAAACAAGTCCAACGTGTACTGAAGTTACTAATCAATTCGCGGAATACCAAAATTAGTAACGCAGTGTCTAGAGAACACGGTTCTACTTCGGATATTAAACGCATGGTTTTAATACCAGTAGAAAAATCAGTTGACAATCGGATTCGATACTAAGTTCTCTCGAAAGAACATTCAGTAAAAAGAAACATTTTCAGGAGAAAGGAGACCAAGGCAGAAGCTGCAAGAAGAGAATCGAGCGGCAATTTGTCACATATCCCGGCGCCACGCTCGATAAGATTCTCCAATGGAAAAACGGAAGGAGTCAGTCCACTGCCATCCGAACGTTCCGTTGGTCGCGCGTCTCGGTCGCGACCGACCCGTTTTAAAATTGCATCAGAACGTGATTTCGCGTGCGGTTTTAACTGCCGTGATCCTGATCGAGCTCGTCCAACGACTCCAGTCTCGCGATCGGTGCCTCGTTTATCGTGAACTCCCAGGACATGTCCTCGCTGGTCTGCCTCGAGGACTCCTGTCGGGCCCCAGACGCCTGACCCGTGCCATCCTGGCCCCCTTGACGGCCGTCTGAACGCTGACTGCACGCCAGATCGCTGGAACCGCGGTGATTCGTCGTGTCCTTACGGGATTCGCTGCTTCGAGGACATTGGGAACCGCCTCGATCCGACACGGACACCACGCAGCTCCAGGGATCGTCGCCTTCTAGCTCCGAACGTTTGTTGAATGAGCTGTATCTGAGTACGAAGTTAATGATTGTGCTTAATTACTAGACTTAACGAGCACAGTACTCTATTAGCTAGTAACTCCATTTAACTAATTGAAAGTGTGCCCAATATCCTACGGTTGTGTTAGGGACGTTGAGCTTAGGGGGATATAACCAGTCGATCTCGCACACCCTTCGTTAAACTCCTTCCGAGTAATGCAATTTAACTGTCTTTGTCCTTGTCTCACCTAAATGATCATCACTTCCCTTTGGTTATAGTTACTGACTCGACTTGTCGGACGAAGTATAGGTGTTGAAAAGGTTTCAATTTAGCAAATCTATAGCTCTTGTCCTGTTTCTTTTACTTGGGTGCAACATTTTATCAAACCTCTCAAGGCCAGATAAATGGAGTTCTATTTTATTGAAATACTATCATGAGTTTGATGGAATGGAAAACGTACCCGCTCCTGAACTCTCCTCTCCTGAACGCTGCAGGTTGGCTGTGCCAGGTGTGCGGCATATGGCTCTGCTGTCCAGTGGTCGGTACCGCGAGATCGACAGGTTGGCTCTGCGACCTTGTCGGGGCGGTTCTTCCGTTCAGCGCTGTTTGCAGAGCGGTGGCCAACGCGGACGTGTCCGACGTAACCGTCAAACGTGACGTACCCGAGGACGTGGACGCTGGCTCCCTCGCCTGTGGTCTGTGGAATACGGGGATCGTGGGAACGTTATTCGATCTCGCCTGGGCCTGTCAGCGGCCCTCTCTCGCGACCGCTACGAGCAGCAACGTATTTATACTTTCAAAGCACGTGATTATGTACAATGGGATTCTGTATAGGCCTCTAATTCCTCTAAGTGTCCCGAACAGTGTCGCGAGTCTGGCTGATTCCATACATAGGTACATCCTATGGTTTTCGTTTATTCTTGGTAATCTGACATCGACATTATGGTTACGATCTACAGAGATATATGTTATGTATGTGTGTATATCAGGTCTCTCGGTATTCGAGCTGCTCGTAGTTCCTCGTTACGCTAATGAATCGGAAGGAACACGAGCCTGTTTTTTTCTCGGGTGCTAAGAGGTGTGCACGGTAGAATCTCGACACAGTAAATCCTCCATGATTGAAAGTTCCTCGGCACTGACAAGAAGAAGTCCCCAGGTGTAACGTCGACTTTTTAGCGAGGCTTAGCACAGTGATAGAGCTTGAAATTGTGAAACCAATGGTATTTGTTTCAGACGCGTATGGTCATTGGTTTATGAAATATGCAAGGTTCAGTGCCGAGGAGCCTTCGAGCACTTACCGAGGATTTACTGTAGTTTTGCTTGGAAGGGCCCAAAAGCTCAAATATTGCCTTTTGATTGCTGACGGAGATTTTGTTGATAGTTCGTTTTGACTACTATCGAGACAGTTCGACTTGACTAATGAGACTGTATCGTGCTTTACTAAACAGGACTAGCAGAACATACGTATGCTTGTGCACTAATGAGAACTTGTGTCCTACGTAGTGGCGATACATACTCGCGGGAGTCATCTACTAGTTGAGTTGTCTTACCTCTTCGTCCATCGTCACAGGGGTATTTTACGTCGCTACGAAGGCAATACTAAGCGGTGTGCTACCGTTAAAGGATCTGGTCTTTCGTATCGCGTGAACGATAACCGAAGCGAATAGGAAATTAGAGTGTCGGGTAGGCTGAAATTAATACTTCTTAATTGAATATCTCGTGGAAACTTCTCTAAATCGTTCGAAGTATCGGTTTTTTTTACTATAACAGGAAAATTCTGAATGAAGCTTTGCGTAACGTCTAAAACATTTAATAAATTCCCTAAACAGTAAGCATTGTTTCTAAGTGACCGTTCTAGTGTGTGAATAAAAACAAAAAGAAAGAAGAAATTGTCTAAAAGTATTTTCTTGGAAATTTTCCTTCAAACAATGGCATCGTAAAACGGAAGTGGCGCCGTCAAGGATAAAAGGGACCCAGAATCGTGATTTCGTTCGTTCGCGTGTCTTTCACCCCCTCGAAGCTTCGAAACGTGCTGCGTTCTCATGGAACAAAAAAGATCTACGAGTCGTCTCAACGATGCTCGGTCGATGATCTAATAAGGGAAAGAAAAGAACATCAACTAAAAGAGGATCTCGATCGCAATATATGTATAAAGTAACGAAAAATGATCTAGCACTAGCACCAACAGGAAAATAAAAGAGGTGAACGTTCTAAAAGGTATCGATACGATTGTCTCGGAATAAATGTCGATGTCGATTATCGATTCGAAAATTGAACGAGACTTAGAAGAGAAAAAAAATTAAAAGAAAGAGAACGAGTTGGAGATCAAAGTAGAGCTGTAGACTGAGAGACGAGTACTGTCTATTCGTCTAATGTGATTTTTATATACTTACGGGACATTACGGACACAAAACGGGTAAAAGTAATTAGCGAATTCGAGAACGCAGGATTGCTAGCAGCGTTATCGTTTTGTGCGTTCCATATTTCTTTCATATTTTATGACTGGCGTATGCATATTCGTTTCTACTTGCGCGACACTGCTCGCAAAATAGGGTTTCCAAGAAGAGTATGAGTTATGGTCACCTTCGGAACTTGTCCAACCTTTCCAAAATAAAAGACGCCGAAATCAAATGCAACTGATCCAGGGATTTCGAAAGAAAGCTTTCCAAGAATAAAAACATCGATTACTTCCTAGGAAAAACAGAATCAATTTCTACTTGAAAAAATGATTAACAACACGCATACATACAACACACGCACACGTTCTCTCTGCGTATCCACGATTCGATCGGGGGTTAAACATCAAACAACAACCACGGACCGAGTCGCGATACGATCAGAGAGAAACGGAGAGAAAAGAAATAGAGAGACAGAGAAACAGTGAGAAAAAAGACAGATAGAGAGAAAGAAAAAGATACATGTTAGTATTGCTAAAAGACAGACAGACTAACGGTTCTTTGCGAAAAAGATTATCTCTTCCCTTATTCGTTTTTTTTTTGCAATTGCAAATCTACCAAAGATCTAGGTCTCTAAACCTGTGTCTACACTATATAGCATAACATGTTATACATATAGCGAAGGTAAAAACTTGTTAGAAAAACAGAAAGAAAAATTTTATATAACATGATGTTACGTAAGATTTTTCGTTTTATATATCAATTTATATGTTATCTATCAGCTGTGATGTCATTACTAATGATGCGATGCAAAATGTTATGTAAATGTGTTACAGAGTTGTTCGAAAGGTATAATCCTGTAACAAGTGGTAAAAACATGTTCTGTTTCAAGATCATATAATAATTTGTTGTATAATACTGTTTTGCTGCATAGTGCGAACGCAGCTTTAAGCGATTCGTTGATCTGGCCCATGAAGTATCGAATAGTAAGACAACTATAAAAACTCTGAAAGAATTTCTTTCATGCCATAAAGGAGATAAAAATAAATCAGTCACGTCAGAGGTCAATCTTTTTTACACGTTACCGCGATGATGATAGAGACTTTTAATTAATCGTTAATCGCAAATATTCACCTGAACAATCCATGTGACGTGCTCGGCTGGATCTTTCCGTTTCCGTTGCTCGAGGGCGGAACAGTCGGTGGTTGGGGTTCGCTGGCCGATCGTTGGACCAACGCCGGAGCTCTGCTACTCTGCTTGGCGGTGCCAGCTGGAGCGGTACCAGGCATCATCTCGATGCTGGAGCTCTCCCTCGACGAGTTAAGCGTTTGTTGAAGCAGAGTGAGGATCAACCGTATGTCACCGGCCATCGAGTGCTCCAAAGACGACACTTGTCGCGACAGCTGGTCTATCCTAGCGTTTATTTCCTCTATAGGCCGGCCTGGTCCACTTTGGAAGTCGCCTGAAAAGGTCAACGAGCGAATGAGAATCGATTCAACTAGCTTTTGGAGGGTTTGGCTAATGGAATGGTCGGTGTTGCTAGGTAACCCTGACACTTTAGGACTTTCTCTAGTTTCGAACGTCTGTTACATCCTTTATCTTTAGCCGGACGAGTAACTCGATAGGTTGATCCTCTAGCTACCCTGTCCAACACCGACATCCACGGGAGGACATCGATACCGTTTCAAGGCACAATTGTCCATAAAACACGAGCAACGTCCAAGGTAAATACATAGACCGAGCACGATAGGTAAGCATCGAGGGAACACATCGATTGGGGATGGATTCCACCCACCGTGTGACTGCGGATGTTGCGGTGGCGACGGTGTCGTGTAATGACTGGATGTCGTTGAGGTCGGATGTGCCACGTTCTGGCTGAGGCAGCTCTCACCGGCAGCTGAACTTCTCCTGGCCGGCTTCGTCAACGGCGTGGTCACTGGATAAACCCAGGCACAGAAGATCAGTACCACCCACGGAAAGCTAGCCTTTCTATCCTCTAAAAAGTGCCTCGTATCTCCGAGAAACAAATGGGGGTCGTCGCGTGTTGGGCGGGGGATGGAAGAGAAAGAAAGATAAAGAAAGAAGGAAATTCTCGCGAAAAATTCGTTCCAGGTAGTGCCCAGTATCGTGGTACTCGCCAGGTTGATTACTTGAACAACACGGGCCAAGGCGATGATGTTTCGTTATGGACTAACTCTGGTCTGGTCCGTCTACGACGGCCAGATTTTTGGATACTTACTCTGCTTGGCGAGGTAATCGTGACTCGTCAGTGGCTGCAGATGGATCTTGTGCTGACGTAGGTCCGGTATGCTGCGCTTGAGATGGGTTAGCATGCCTGAACAACCAGGTTTCAAGGTGTTAACGAACTCGGGGAGACAAACGCAAACGCAAAGCTTAACGCTGCACGCTTTAACCCAATCGCCACGCGGTTATAGGGAAACATTGTTGAATTTGGACCATTCCCTAGGTTGGACCACTACTGTCACTTGTCATGTGTACGCAATTAATGATACACAATATAAGTCTATAGCTCTATATCTAAATAAGTTAGTTAATGCAATCACCGCTATCATACACATATTGTCTACCATACGGTATGAATTGCTTCCACATGATAAGTTACTGTAGTAGGCAACCTAGGCGATGATTCAAATTTGCCAATTTTCTCCCACATCTTCTTTGCTCAGGGTAGAACAATTCTATATAGTTAAATCAGGATACAATCTCTGGTATTGACAAGCAATTAACATCATTTGGTTGAGTCACAAGGTGATGGACGAGCACCTCGAGAACGTAGAAACTGGCAAGGTGATCTTGGGAGGATCCTGGCTGCTCGAAATAACGAAACTCGGGCGTCTAGTATATACACTGCGTCGTAACTATAACTTCGTGCAAACTACACGTTTTACTATCGTCAATATTTACAGAATCGTCGAGGCGATGATGATGCCTGGGTGTCGTAATTCTCGAGCATTCGAAAGGACTTCAAAATCGCGGTTAGAGAACCTAGCTGGTGAACTCGAGGCGATTGGGTTAAGGGGATGATTTTAGCGGACTGAAGGATGCTCGTGGTAATGAACTACGCTGCAGAGATGAGATCTCGAAAAAAGTCTATAGAACACGAGCAAGTGGTAATTGTATCGGGATGAGTCGGTTTGAACTCGTAATCCGACGGTCTTGTGCAGTAGAAACGGAGAGACGTTTGTGAGTTGCCAAACTATTGGTAAAGTGTTATCTGCTTAACAGCACTTCACAGTTGTTCTCAAGGGATTTAAGTTCGTATGGTACTATTAGTACAGAGAAGCTGAGGTGTTTTTATCGCGAATGCAACTAATGTTTCAACCGTGAAACGAGACGAATTCTTAAGAATTCGTACTTCGAGATTTAACGATATAACGTAGATGACGTTATATGTATAAAATCATCATCGGTCAAGCGTCAGAGCGAAAGGAAACGGTCTCTCCGCCTCGACTGCGACGGCTACTGGGCGTAAGTAGAACAAACTGTTACTGCTTAATTACTGCACTCCGGGCGACGGTGGGAATCGGAATTACCTTCTCGCAATAAAGTTGTTAATTGGACTGGAAAGAAACAGTTCTCTCGGAAAATACTAAATGGTCTAAAAATTCGTGTCACGAGTCCAGAGTGAATGAAGATAGAAAGGGATGGAAGAGAGAGAGAGAGAGAGAGAGAGAGAAGGGGCTAAAGCCGAGCTTTTTATGTACACAATGTCTCACGATGCACCTATATGTATGAATCTCTCTCAAATTACGGACATATAAAAGACTTTTTAATGGTAGGCGTCGATGTTTGCGGGTGTTGCGAAGCATGATTCAAAGGTACCTTAACTAGAATCATATAAGGGATCTTCCATTAAAACCGTATTCAACGAACTTGCTCGGATCGCAAAAATGGAAACCGTGTGAGACACATCCTCGCATGATTAAAAGTGTCTATGTTTGTCGTGCAGAGAACAACATTCCTCAGACAGAGAAAGTAGAGGCAAACCAGAGAGAATTGGCGAAAGAAATAGACATTACTCCGAAGGTAGAGAAAAAAAAAAAACTGGAGTAAGGTCGATCGATCGAGGCAACTTGGCGGTTCTTCTCTCACCGGTTATGGAGTTCAATGTGGAGCTTCGCTGCTTCGGCTCGTCGAACTCCAGGTTCAACGGTGTCACGTCTTGGCCGGCTTTGTCGGTGCTGAACTCCAGAATTCCGTGACCGCTTGCTTTGTCGCTGTAATCAAGACAGAGGGGGATATACTTGCCCCTCGAGGAATAATCGTCGTTTCGTTAACTTTCAACCGTTAACGTGCGGTTTGCCAGGCACCGTCCATTATATAAATTTACATTTCGTTTGATACAAAGTACAGTAAATGATCTATCAATGTTTGAAGACTCCTCGGCACTGACAAAGAGAGGTCCCCAGGTGTAACGCAGACTTTTTAATAAGGTTTAGCATAGTGATAGCTGGAAATTTTGAAGGAAAAAATACTCAGTAGATCTGCTCAAAATGTCACAGATCTATTTGATTGTAATGTTCTCGAAAAATATGTTTAGAATGTCGATTAGATTAAAATAACGTGCAGTTTACTGATAAATGTCTGTAGTCTATAAACAAATGCGAAAATATTTTCTGTCTAATTATTTCATGTCAGGCGTCACACAAATTGCACGTTAGTGGTTAAAGGAAATTTCGTCACGTTAGCGATTAAAGGTAAGCGCGATAAAAAGATCCGGCGAAGGACTTACTAATCCTCCTGATCACCCTGCAATGAGTCTTGTCGACCAGTGGGTATAAGATTGGTGCCAGGACCGCCGGGTCCGCGACGGTATCTTGGTGGACGGAAAGCGAATCTCCTGGCGTCGACTTCGACGTCCGTTGGAGTGCTGACAGGAAACCTTGCTGACATCGGATCTACACCGGCCTGTTCCTCCTAAAGATTGATCATAATAGACAAATCAACGCTTTCTTATTCGCTGAGAAAGCAACAAAGAAGAACGTCGATACATACGTCTCGAAGATTAAAAGTGATCTCTAGATTCTGGCTGAAGTGATTCGAGAACTCTGGATACAGGGCCAAAACGTCAAGTAGATCGTCCCTGTGTATTTTGTGGAGATCACAGTAGGTCAAAGCGCGTACGTTGCAGGACGATTTGCCTACAGTAGGATAGATGCAAGGATTCTCCCCGAATATGTCGTCCTTGCCCAGTATCGCCATCACCACGTCGCCTTTTAATATCTCTATACTGCCTCGGGATATGAAGTACAGGGACGTCAGCACGTCACCTCGATGGACTAACGTGTCTCCGGGTGGAGCGTGTGTGGTTTTGAACTTTAACGATAGCGCCCTGGCAACCGGAACGGATCGATCAAACACTGAATCATCATCATCATCATTGTGGATCGTGCTCGTCGTGGAATCATTTCCGTACCTTAAACAACCGGGGCTGGCACCCTCGAAGGCTCGGCAGTTGTTTAAAAGATTACGATTCAGATGAAGACAGATGTCCGCCTGAAGACACTCCGGGAACCCTTTCAATACGCTGTTCATGTCGATCCCGTTCGTGTAGGTCCAAGCGTGCTGAAAGTACTCCTCGAGACGTTGTCGCAGGGGATTCGGGATTTGATGGAACCGTATGAACTCGCGGACACGTAGCATCTGCGTGTGATATCTCGCTGTCCCGCTGTAGAGCCTCTGTATGATCGCGGAGACGTTGCCGAAGATACTGGCGTACATTAGAGCTGAGGACCGATACCATTGATGTGTCAGTCACAATTGTTCGTACGACACCAATAGGGAAATAATAGTAAGAATATGACTACTTACATCCGATTAGCATAACGATTATTGTAAATATTTTCTCGGTGTCCGTGTTTGGAGCTACGTTCCCAAAGCCCACCGACGTTAAACTACTAAAGGTGAAGTACAGTGCTGTGATATAGCGGCTCTAGAATCGAACGAATGACAAAAGAAAGAGAGCATTAGTTCCGACCAGGTCTACCAGATGCAAACAACACTTGGGGCACACGCGAAAGCAGAAAGCATCGATCGCTGTGATATTAAATTCGAAGAGAAAGCTAAACCTGGCATTCGTGTGAAACGAGGTAGGGGAGTGGGGGGGGGGGGTTGTTCACCTTTATACTCGGCCCCCCGGTGTTGTTGTGAAAATAAAACTGATGCGTGTCGTTGGCCAGAATGTCGAGCCAGCCGACTTTACTCTTCAATGTTGGCCTCTCCGCGTTTCCTATAGCGTACCTTCAACAGAGACGACGGGGATTAACTTGCAAACGTGTCTCTCGGCGTCGAGTTTGGCTTCGTTGATTCATCATGATCGTCAAACGAGTCAAACCCGAATTTTACTTCGATCGTATCGTTTAATTCTCGAGGAACTATAGCATTTACAGGGTGATTCTATGCTAACTGGGCGAACCTTAGCTCGGTTCCAAGTGATGTTAGAAAAGAAAATGTAGAGGAACACTTTGCATTGTTTTAACCCTTTTAACCGCCCAGACGATTAAATCGTTATTAAATTATGAGACTGGTATATATAGTGTACCTTGCTATTTTCGAGTCAAAAATATCTATACTTTTTTTCTAAATGGATTATTCAACTTCTCAACCGAAAACGTTGATTGTATCAGTGACACTACGGATCCTTGTTGACAAAAGTTCGATTTTAACCAACGACAGACTATGACACACATTTAAAATGATCGTTGCACCGGTACAACAATAAGATTTAAATGGTTAACAAGCTCTAACGTCTGACTGTGTTGTTTGCACCGATGCATTTGTGAAAAAAATAATACAGTGGGATCATAGAACTTGTTAACATTTTTTTTGCTTACTTCACTTGGAACAGAGCTATAAGCCGACACACAATCATTTGGTAGAATTACCCTCTGTATATGTTGCATTGTATTAAATAGTGTAAAAGGGTGATTGGTTTACCATATACACGCCATCCAGTGAGCAATAAGAGCGAAGGTGGCCATCAAAAGGAGTAACACCGCGGCTCCATATTCGCTGTACCTATCGATCTTCCTAGCTACTCTGACAAGTCGCAGAAGACGAGCGGTCTTCAATAGTCCTATCAAGGTGGTCGTCTGCAAAGAACACGTGACATTTTGTCGATCGCAAGCTTGGCCGTAAACGCGTCTCTCTTGTTCTTTTACTCGAGTGTCTTGTCGATGGTAAAATGGAGGGATTGACTTTGGATCGACGATCTAACTAAGAAACATTTTTTCACTTCGAACGTTCGATCCGTCCATGTTGACCGTGATGTTTCTGGTCCCGAAATATTTGCTATTCTCGGTATTCATAAATTTATTACCAACCATGAAGGCATAATAAAGTTATATAGATCTATAATGTTCAGCAAATATAACACCTCGCTAAAAAATGCAAGGGTCGTCACCATCTTTATAAACAATTCATCTGGCCCCAATATACTGCTGGTAGTCTCTCAAATATTCCACGTAACTGGTTTTCCATCGAACCGACCCATTACCGGCGACATCGCCAAAGTCACTCCCGTGGTTACGAGTTATTGTTGTAATTGTAGGTCTTACGAGGAATCTCTCTAATATGCGACTGTCGTTCCCGGTGCACGGATCGATCGGCTCGTCATCGGTCATTTTTAGGTCAGCGAGAAGCCGGTCGCGTAATATTCTATGCATGAGAATTTTACAGGAATACCGAGTCTCGCCGTACCGGCAGACGTATTCTTTGAATCGTTAATCGTTCCACGGTCCATTTCAGACGGAACGACAGTCGCGGAAAATCTCGAGCTGACTCGTGAGCAGACATTCTGCCTCGCATGAAGTTTCGATATATAGAAACATTCAGAATAAACAAAAAATAGTAGGCAGTATATTTATACTAATTCCAAGATTCACTAGAATTGTATTATAAGTAAGAACGACAGACCAAAGGATGACTCTAATCGAACTATTGCTGTATTCACAGTGACAATCAAAGTTCCAGAAACGATTCAATTGGACTCCGAATTTAATCGATCGAGATCCAACTCACGAGCAGTCGGGTCAAGAGTGATCGCAAGTGTCGTTTACGTGCAATAATCGTTGCGAACGATTCGTTGAAACAGAGATACGGATACCTCATGCTTCCTCTCCAACTTCTTACCTGTCTGCGGCTGTTTCGAGAACTCGACAGGGAGATCTTCGATATCGAAGCCCAATAATACCGATGGAGGACGCGCGGTTGTTCGATCGAATCGACGCCTTGTGTGTACCGACTACCATGCATTGTCGTGTCTACGCTCCAAATTCAAACTGAACCATTCGTCTAATTGGTTGCTAACGATAGTCTCGAGACTTGATACATTGACGGGCACGGGTTGCTCGGTGACATTTTTACACGTGAGGGAATCAGAACGATATTATTTACAGTGACGTGTCGTGTTGCTTAACCCTTTCGTTCCCAAATTTTTTAAAAATTTCTTTGCTATTTGGCAGCAATTTTACCTTTATCACAGCTATATATTATAATTCCCATTGCAATGCTACTATACATAGAAAAAACCCAATTTTTCTTACCTTTGATCAAGAAACTTTTTTTAAATATTTAAAGGAAATCAGAGTTTTGTAAGTTTCTATTGTATTTGTAAGAATGTTCAGCATTTGAATTCTATGAAACGAAAGAGATAAAGGACCAATAATGTCTTACTTTATCGATAAGCTTTTGAATGCACAGTCAAATGTGTGACGTATTATTCATACACGAGTACAAGTAACTATTATATACTCATAAATAAGAAAAAATACGTGATACCAATATTTCATATCGTATTTTAAAATATGTAGTCATATGGCAACACTGGGACCGAAAGGGCTAATGAATATACATCTGACAATGTCTGTCCTTTTTTTTTCATTTCGTTCGAATGATTTTGGTGCTTTGAAGATTCTCGCACGACGATCAACACCATCGGCCAGAGATGAGCCAGAAGTCGGTTGACTTTTATCCGAGTCTAAGGAATCGCTAGGAATAATTCCGAGGACGTTTCTGATAGCCCTGGCTGATACGGGAAAATGTTATGGCAATGTACACGCGAGCCAGCGGATCGGAA